CATTCTTGCATTTCCATGATCCTGTTTTAACTTCTCTCCTTGAAGGACTTAGTCCCGTGTGTAGATGTTAAAAGTGGGTGTGATTTCTCCAGCGCCACTTTCCTTAGTCTTTTTCAAGCCAGTAATTTACAGTAAATTCTTTCTTTTCAGTATTAGTAAAATAGATCGCCTTGTAATTTCTACCAGTGCACCACCTCAAGTCTGCCACGAAGCCCCGCAAAGCGGCACACCAGTACGGAAGGATGCGTTGATGGTTGTTGTCACCTTCTTTCAAGCCGTGCCCCTAAAACAGAAGTCCCAGACTCTGGAAAGGGAGGGTTAAAGAAAAAATCATTAAATCACGCCAAAATAAAGTCCATAGTTGGACACAATTGTACTTCAATCAGCTAATTATCAATCAGGGCAAAAAATACAATTTTGCTGAAAATCGAGAATGAATTTTTCCCCATTTTGATGGTAAAAAGCGTTGTTAACCATCACACAGGTCAATCCTGTTCATATATGTGTCAAAAACATGAATTTTACCCTTCCCTTAACCCATGAAGTCACTTCGCTTGTCATTTGACAGGACGTATATCGAAGCGCATGTCTATCCACGTCTGTAGGTGTGCAGACAATACGATTTCAATGATGCATATCATTTAGGGGGTGAAGCATAACTTTTAAGCGTCGTCAACAGAGTCAGTATGGGTAGCAGCAGCAGCATCAGCAGCAGCATGGGCAGCTAAACTCATTATTTCGCTACAGTGGGAATTTTACCTGTTAATACCCCACCCACCAATCCCCACACCGTACTCATCAGTCCGGTCCGCGACTCATGCTCCCCAGATGCGACCATAAATTCGTTACACCACACACACACTCACTTTGTTTTTCACGTGTGCGCGCAAGCGTCCGCGCCCCCACGCCCTCGCACCCCTGTCCCCTCGTGTGTGCGTGTGTACGCGAGCACATGGAGAAGATGGTGGACCACGCGCCAGTTTGTTTGATAGAAGCAGCTGTAGCATTGTCACGCCTCTGTGGGTCGCAATTTGCTCGCATTAACATCTTCCAGGAATCAGGCTTTGTTATGAGTTAGCGCAACCCCAAATGTGAAAAAATTTTGACCTAATAGTACATACTACTTACAAACACATCAGCCGTCAGAGCAAAGTGTATTATAAGGCTGTTGCAAGCTCTCAATAACCTCAAATCTACCTTTATATCCCTCCCTTGAGTCAAGAGTGGCTCATTAGTTGGCATATTTAGGCTGCGAAGAGGGAGAGAATTACCACTTATAAGGTAGATGAATAATTTCGCGCCTTTTTGATAAATAAATTAGGTGTCCTTTACAATCCATGAAGTTCTTTAACCAGACCCAGAGCTGTTGTCAATTTTATCCCCCAAACCTATGTATTTTGCCTAAAAACCCCGCAAGCCTAGTCACCCTTCACTGTCAAATTGCAATATCAAGAAAAATTAGTCGTTATTCCCCAGGGAAGGGGGAAGGCAAAAGATGCGGTTGAGGCAGTACCACTTTCTCCCGAATCCCCGAAATTTTGTATAAAGTCTTCCTCTGGGTGGGAAAGACTTTGATGCGTGTAGTATAAGTACTTGCGTTGACAAGAAGAAACGCCTTTTTAGAGTTGATACCTTAATCCTAGTTGATTTTCCTAGAGAAGTACTTCTTACACACATTTAAGCCGTATGACCTTAAAAAGGGAAGTTCTGGTAAGCAAGTGGATCTGCGGGTGTCCACATACGCACCCACACATACATTACCAGCAGTTTTCAGGAAATGTGGAGACGCGTGCCTTCATTACGCCCCCATTACCCCATTCCCTTACATTGCTTTCTGCTTTCGTTTTATCACATCCCTCCAAACGCTGAACAACCGACTTGACCTAGAGTTACGTCGTCCGCTTTGGAACCTCCAATTTAATCACATCACATCAATTTTTTCATTTTGGTAGGGTAAATTTACCAAACTGATGGTGGTGAAGATCAGAGTGCGCTGGGGATGGCAGAAAAAGGGTGGAGAATACAATGAGGGGTTCCGTACTCTATCTTACCTCACTCTACCCCACTCTGCCACACCTTACCCCACTGAAGCGTACTGAAGCTATAAGAAACGGTTCAAATCAAGCCGAAACAAAAAAATTCTTAAAGCCACTTCACCAAGTCGTTCCAACAACAATCACTAAATCCAATCACCAGATTGTGTTGACTTGATCACCGGTTACTGCAAAGTCGGCAAAGGGGGTTTTGAGGTGGATTATGGTGGATTAAATAGTTCAGATTATACTCCCTTCACACCTGCAATCCACCCACCCTGGCAGTAAGGAATATGCGTCCCATTTACCAGATGCCTTTTTACTGATCCAAGAAGTTGGGCTTCATTCTGCTACCATGGCAACTCACTTTGTGTCCATCATCTCCGAGGTAAGGTGGGTGAAAGCGCCCAGAACTTAGCTAAGAATGTGGATTACTTCTGACCTCCACGATTTGCCCTCCATCTAGCTTTCCATTTCTTCCCTACTTTTGTAATATGATTGCTTCAAGGTTTTCTTTGGGGGTCAAATTGGGGACTACCTCACTCCAAACGGTTTAATTTTACAATGCCAGCATAGTCTACTTCCTACTTATAAGTAGCATTCCATCCCTTCTACATAATTTCCCTTCACATATATATTTATTGTCTTGCCCTTTTGTGTACAAAAGCGTCATATTTTCTCCTCAATTCTCTGAATTGAGGAATGATAGTCTTTTTTTTTCAATTTGAAGTTGTCTACCAATAAGGCTGCTAAATGGGTACAATTGGGGGAGAATTCTTCAATAACCTGGGGGAAATTGTGTGTGTCCATGTGTGTGCGAGTGTGATTCTAGGCTACTCAGACTTCCCCATTCAGTACGGCAGATGTCCCATCCACTGACCCACTTTGGAGTCAGGCAGGAGGAGCAATGAAGCGTAAATTAACTCCCTCTTCCCTAACCTTTTCCCCCTCGCCTTTAATCTCTCTATCTCTCCACCTCTATCTTCTGTTACCTCCTTAGAGTAGGCACCTACTGCTTATTTAGAATTCACAATTTATTGCGCATGTGGTTAACCCATTTTCCTCGTTCAAGTCAAATAGGGACCTCTTACGAAGCGAGAGTTGCACAATCGCCAAGTAAAATAACTGATGTCTGGAAGGTGTCGGTGTGGAGTTGTCGATACGTTTGAGCTCTGCCAGACCAGGTTATCTGTCTATTTGTCACAATTACTTTTGATGTGCAACAAGTTGGGCATAGATTCTCCAGGATAAGACATTCCATTTACTGGAGCTCGACTATCAAGGGTGTGAACGAGGAACCATTACATTTAGATACGCCTCTAATGCACGCACAACCGTTCCACATACGAATTACTCCTATTTTATTACCAAAATGAGAGGTTTTCAGATGGGATAGAAGGCATTTGCACACCTTATTAGAGGTGTAATAGGAATGAGATAAAGGGGACTCCGGCATTTTCAAGAGTCCCGCTTCCACATGCACATTACTCGCTGAAACGTGGCGGCCTTTATTGAAAGGCCAGTAGTGGACGCTAAAATCACAGTACCCTTCCACCTCTGACTGCCAACACTACCATTTTATTAATATCCAGTCACCATTTTGGGGATATTTGAGGATGTTGGGCCTTGAAAATCAGCTTAACTGCAGCAACCAGTAGACACCTTACAACGATCACTCAAAGTAGTTTAGTAAAAAAGTCAAACAATACGAGGAAAGGGGGTAGGAACTGTTTTCTTCCCCTGACACAGGCCCATTCTCCCTTCACCTTGCCTCGATTGCCCCCTTCTTCTCCCTGCCACCAATTGTTCTGCAAGGCAGCAACAGAATGCATGTGCTCTTTCCCTTCCCCCTTCCTCCTCTCCTTACCCTATTCTCCTACTCATAGCCCCATTCTCACCACCGCCACCACTATGCTCGTTAGTCCCAAGTGGGGTGGTACACACTGGTAGAATGACACCTTGCTCCCCCGCCCTTCTTCCCCTCTTTCAGTCCTCGTCTCTGGAGCTCCAAACCCCGGTGGGGATGGAGACGGGGTGGGCAAAATATTTGTATCCTGCTGTGCAAGATGACTCAGAACCGGTCTCTGGAGCAGTGACGTACTCACGCACACGGGCTGGAAAGAGAGGAAAATTTTAAGCTAAGAGAGGAGGGATACAGAGGAGAGCCGCATTTTGGGAGGCAGGTAGAGCTGGTGTACCAAAATCAGTAGAAGTACGTTCTAAGATCTGCTAAAAATCGACGGGAAATTATCTTCATTAATTTATTTAGTGAATTTTTGGCGAGGTCTTAAATTGTATGACCTCGGAGTCTGAATTACCCCTCGATGTGTGGATAGGCGTCTTTAACAGCAACACTTCTGTGGTTTTGATTCAAAAAATACCTCTTTAATACTTTTACCCACTTTTAGTCAGCATTCATGATCTTTCTGACTTGTAGGAGAGATCTTTGGTTTGTGCTTTCCGTGCCTGTAGTGTTGAAGAAAGAATTCCATTTCTTTGCAGTAGGGATGACCTGCGAAAGACGAATCATTAAGGTTTCAATGCTGTCACCTACCTATCCTCGAGGTCAGTGATCACAAAGTGATTTACCATGACAACGAGAAGATGTACGCGTTCTTAGAGTAGCGTGGATGCTCCTCCTGGGGAGATCATTTCCTCCACTGCTAAGGTGGGTGAATCGGGGCTGTAAAGTGAGTATAGGCGGATCTTTTAGTCTTCCAAAGTGAGGTATATTTCCCTCAAAGTACGCTCACAACATGATGAGGTAAACAGGATGCCAAAGCTTCAATTAGTAGAGTTTGTTGAGGCGACTTGAAAATAAGTTGACAAGTGAGAGCTTTTTATGCCCTTTAAGATCACTTCCTATTCTCCAACGGGGCTATTTTGTTAATCAATCGTTCTTCTAAAATCGAAGGATATTCTAGGGAACGCGAGGGTGTGTGGGGCCCACGAAGATGCTTCCTTTTCTCTACCCATCTGCCTTGACTATTTCTAGATCCTAGTAACTTCTTGGGATTAGTGCCGGATCGTTTGGTGAAGAAGGCAATTGGAGTGAAGTAGGGGCTACGGGAGAGGAAAGGGGCTGTATTCTTCATACTTTCAATCAGTTAGTGACACATTCTTGAATGGATCATTCAAAGGTGGTCTTTCACTCCATTACTTGTAACGAAGCAAGACTTCAATTTAAGTTTGTATTTCCATTTTTCCCTTTCCATCCCCCCACTTTGATGAGTTTCCACCGTTTTGGTGCTTCCTATTCGATACAATCATGTCATGTCATTTTGTAGACTTTGAAGCTCCAAGCATGCTGTTCCAAAATAAATTAGAGGGCGGTATCTGCCATGCGAGTCAGGAGCTCCCAAACATCCTCGCCTTGTGCACCTGTCACGAAGACCTTTTAGGAGTCTTCTCTGGATTGCCAAGTCGAGCGCCTAGTCACATCGTTGAAGGCCACATTTGCCGTTTTCAAGCTCGATGTTTTTGAGCACAATGGCTATTGTTTCGGAGGGTTGCTTTGTGGTGTACAGTAGGGTAGAAGGGAAGGGAGCCGAGGGCGTGGAGAGAGATGAGAGTGAAAACGAACATGCGGCTGCACAATAGCCGCCAAACATCACGTAAGGGCTGACCATCTGGTAGGCGACAGGGAAATGGGACATCGACGGGATGGAGGGATAAAGAGCACGTCCACCCTGGCTGCGATGCAGTGCAAGTCCCTGGGGACATGGTCTAGGGGTTGGTTACAATGCCTCTGTCTAAATGATTTTCTCTGCTTGTTGAAAATGAGAATAGTGGAAGATTTGGAAGTCGTGTTCAATCTTTAAGCCATAGATCCATCCACGACGGTGTCCAATCACACTACTCTACTCTTAGTCAATCATTTATTCGCAAAATCCATCAATCTATCAGTCAATCTTGTATCCATCTATCCATCCCGTATCCGTCCCTCCCTCCCTCCTTTCATCCATCTCTAGCGGTGTGTTTTACTGATAAGGCAAAAGTGCCGTCAAAAAGGGTATTTAAAATAAATTTTGACACCTTTGTGGTCTCTTCAGTCTACCGCCTCATACCATTCCCTTGACAGCAGGGCTTTTGTGGACACACCAAGCATCAGTTGTCAAGGCAAGTAGTCAATTTACAAACAGACATTCTGTTAAATTCTCCCACCAAACTCAGTGTGTTAAATTTTTAAAGCAGAAATCTGCCTAAAAAGGAGGCGAAGGCCTTCAATTGACGCGGGCTTTATAAGTTAGAAGTGGTGGGCTGCTTGTGTTCGCGAGGTGAGATGCTGATGAGGTGGATGTAATTGTGTCATCCAATCTTTAAGGTAAATTTTCAAACACCCTTAAGGTACCACCCATCGACAGCAGAATACACAAACCTGCACGGCCTCTACGTAGTTGTAACATAGGGCACATTCAACCGTGTGTAACAAACTTCTACCTTAAGATGATTTAAACATTTGTGTGTGTACAGTGACCGATGGACTGGTCTCGCAAAATATGTTGCAACTGTTTTAATAGGCAGTAAACAAGGCTAAATAATTGCATGTCTTTGAGGGCATTCTTCTTTCAGCAGGCCTCACGTCCAACATGCTTTTAGCCTTAAAGTTTAACAACTCCTAATTACGACCACTTTTTGTATCAGTAAATCATAAATTTTATATTTTACGTCATTTTGAAAGCGTCATGAAACCGCGTAAAAGTTCTATTTTTCTAATAATTTTATTTCCAAAATGTGACTAATTTAACTTTTATTATGAATTACAAGCTACTGAAAATTTATCAGTAGATCCTCTGAACCAAACTATTTCGTTGTATTAATAAGGCAGCTTGAGAAGGATTCCCTGATGTACGGGTTCAAATAAGGTAATTACATATTGATTTCCTTCAAAAATAAGACGTGATCTTGAAATACAAATAAACTTTTAAAAAACTTAAAAGCTAATATATAACAATTAGTGTAGTGATTTCTTGCTATTTTAAAGATTGAATTATTGGAATTTCACCACTGTGATACACACAGGAAGCTTGCAACATTCCAAGTCAATTTCAGCAAGAAAAATTGCAATAGAAGAGACCATAGATGACCATTGAGACAAACTAATGTGTTCCAAGGCAAAGTTACTGGGGTATAAAATTTTTGGTGAGCATGCCGACTCCCAATTGTGGAGCGATATTCCACAGTAAGAGGTGGAATTTCGTGACATGGGATAATGAGATAAGACACTGCATACATAAGGAAATACCAACAAGTCCTTCAGGGGGCGTTTTACAATGCATAAATCATTAAAATCAGTGCGCAACTTATCTCCAACGAGAAGCTTAGCTTGCTTTGGAATCCACCCGACCGCAATCCGTGAAGCAGAAGAAGGCCAATCACATCCAACAAGTTAACCCAATCAACACGAAGGTGGGGGTAAAAGGGGGGAGGGAAGTAGAAGAGAGCCCAATGAGGGCTGCCGTACAGTACCGACAGACCAACTTACATTGAGGTTTTATAATGCATCCACATATATAATTGGACGACTTTACAAATCCATACAAATAGTTACACCTAGGCATTGAAGAAAGCCTTTACGCAGATAAATCGTGACAACATTTTGGGGTCACGCATTACTACTAGGCACAAATTTCTTTCCATTACGCGAGTCACCACGAACGACTTTTCTTTTCTCCCTTTCTGTGGAAAATTATTCGCTTTGACTTATTTGCTATTGGGGCGACAACCTTTTTTCCTTTTTTACAATGCCGTACAAATAAGATACTGGACATCTTGGATTCCCTCGTGTATGTTTACATCGCAATGCAGTCGCAAACGAACGAGCCAAATAATAGAGATCAAACGTTTTTTTGTCCTCTAAAGGTAAACATCCGGATCGTGTGCGCGTTTAGGAGAGGTAATATGTAGTCTGACGCAAAAATTTATTCACTACAGTAAGCCAGTCATTCAGGAGGCTATTCGCTTCATCGGTCTGATGATAAGCAAACCCCTTGACCAGGGCCAAACCGGAAATGGCACCTGAAGTCTAGGTACTTAAGTCACCTTGAAGGGGTTAAAGAAAAAGCCTCCTAGGGGAACAATCGGTCATCTAATATGTTAGCTATGCACCTATGAGGAGTTCAGGATCCGGGGTTAATACGTTCTCAGTAATAAGCGTCAGGGACGTGGTTCCGCGGCCGAAATTGTTCCAGTTTACGGACACGCGATCCGCCTTCTGGCAGTCAAAAGTCCAGCCGCCGATAGACGAGCAGTCTCATCATCGTACTTTGCATTACTGGGCTCTGACATATTCTGTGATAAGGGAATACACTTGCCTGAGATGCGATTTATCACCTACTTAACTTCCTCTTCCCGCGAGATAAGCAAGACCTGCGATTAAGAGGATGTCGCTTTGCCGATGACAAGTGAACAAGCTTTGCGCATCGAAATGCAAGCAAACATTGAGGAAGACGGGAAAACAAATCAAGGGATAAGGGTGAAACAGAAGGCAAATATGGGTAAGAATTGTTAGTGTTCATGACCCGCCATTGGCACGTCCTCAAAGATGTCCTTAACTGTGGTAACTTCACCCTGTTTGATGACTAAACACTGGGTCGGATGCCGTTTAGCTATCTCTGTCGGTTTTGAGGAGAAGGCCCTCTTCACGTCTACTTCGCCTTCTAGGTCAGAGGTGAGACAAGCAGCAGTGTAGAAGGTATAGGTGTCCTTATCTTCCAGTTGTAGTGCACACAGTTTGTTCGGACATCGTAGAAAACCGTCCAGAGCCCAGACTATTCCGTCTCTTCCTGGGAGGTTGTATTCAACCACTTTGGGCTAGGGGGAAGAGGTGAACAATAGTGGTGTAGAATTTCACTAGGCCAAGGAAAGCATCAACAAAATGTAGATAAACTAACGAGTTGTGAGCAACATTATGTTGGTGATTTACGTCTGACGTAAATAAACAACTTCAGCCACCTATTTGTGTTATCAGGCAAATCGTACCAAATGAGGTGACAAGGTAGACCTACCCATTCACTTTTTGGCAATTCATCATACCCGATCCTCATGGTGCCCTTGTCATCCATCCAGAAGATGAGTTCGACACCCGCAGAAGACATAAATCGGTGAACTGAGTTCTTCTCAAAGTAGCCTATGTCACCACCCCATAGGTACAAAGGCACGTGGTTAAGCTTGGCGAACTAGAGAGTAAAAATAGTGCGGTTAAATCGTTGCCTTTTTTGACAGCTGCATAGACTTACATTTTCAGCAAGAGTTGCGTGACCTTCATAACGAGCCAGCTCGGGACTGACCAATTTTTTGCTTAACTGCCTCGAACGCGGATCAATCCATCCCTCGTCAGTGGTGACGAGGTAGAGATTTTTGGGTGCCTTCTTTTTGAACACATATTCTTCCATTTCGGCGATTTTGGTGATGCTGTTGGTGTGACTATTAGGGGAAAAAGAAAGGGCTTGATAAATAGGAGCTTTTTTGTCCTTAGGTGTGTCAAAGCATCCGCTACTTTCCTATTGGTTAGAATGCGCGATCAATTCTCCGCAGCAGATTATTGATTGGTAATAGATGAGCGCGAAATGAAGACTGCTCACTGATTGGTTGAGTAGCTGATTGGTGAGGTGTATTCATTAATCAAAAGCATATATTGCTTTATTTCTATAGCAAAGGTGGTTATCAAGTAATGTTATTGGTTGACAATCAATTTTGAAAGTTTTTCTCATAATAATTATTTGTCTTCTTTTTAATATGGAATCAAAAAGTGAGGGTTTTAAAACAAAAAATAATAATTTTGAGGAGAATAGCTGCTATTAATAAAAAAATTAAAAGTGCTTTTATACAACAATCCTAACAGAAGTAAGGAGACAACTCACGAGAAGTCTTTTCGCTCCTCAAGAATGTTGGTGATATTCTTCTCCGGCATGACATTAATTCTCGAGGTCTTGTAAATGGATGTATTTTTCAGTTTGAGGGGTTGAAGGTTGTTCACTGGCGAGTAGTGCCAGTTGAGCTAAAGGAAGAAAAAAAGTGTAAAATGGATGGATAAAATTCGTGGGTAAGAGAATGAATAAACAGATTAACCCTTATATTGCCACCTCCATCTACTCACCGTGGAACCCATTTTCCCCTTTGTAAAATACGTCGTCTCATAGAGATAGTTGTTGCGATTATTCGACCGATGACCATCTGTATGTCCCGAAAAATCTTGAATATTTGCCAAGTTTCCATTGTGCTTCACAATGTGGTAGCGAGCCACCTCACAACGGTACTCCTTATCTACCTGAAAACGTTGGTACTCCGGTCTGAACTGTGCGTATCCACTCCACCCTGCAACGAGAAGACCATGAGAAGACGTTAGCTTATCACTTCTTTCCACTGGCTTAAATTTCTGGAAGTAACTCACAATCGAAGGCTGAGTTTTCTGGTGCAATTACTGCATACTGGCTCGCATCATCCATATAAAGATCGCATTCACGAAGCACATCGATGAACTTGTCAATGTTTTGATACTTGGCGCATTCTGGACGATCCATTAAGTCCTTCAGCGTCAACTCTGCAAACCAACGAGACATACGTAAGTCTTCTTATTTAGCTTGTGTAGAATAAAACGTTCGTAAACCGTGTCACACATCTGTGACGCTTAGTCTTCCTACGAGTGAATTGTGTATTCTTCAGTACACGAAACATAAATAGGACCAACGGCTCTCTGATTTGCGAGTCTGAAAGGTTCCACTTAATTTTTCTACCTATAGCCCAAAGTTAGCAAAACATGCAGGCATTCGAGGACGTCTGCTAAATCGTCACAAAAAAATTTTTAAACAACCTGCCAATCTGACGAGAGACTACGTAGTAGTAGTAGTAGTCGCCCGGAACTCCAAATTACGCTACAGCGCTGTGCATGTTTCCAAAGCATATCATTTCTTCGGAGGTGCCACATCACCAAGGCCAACTTCTACCTACTCGATCTTGACTCTTTCGGCCGATTGGGTCTACACCGGATACTGATCAACAATCCTACTCGCTCCAATAGATCCACTATTTACCGAAGTCAAATGAGTTAAGGACCAACTCGATTACTTACGCGACATGGGAATAACCGGACTACGGATGACATGAACAACGCCATTAGCTGCCATCAGATCCGCTTGTCTGTCGACAAATTCATGCGTATCACCACAGGCATCAGTGATTTTGCGTATCTCCTGCCGGTTGCTCGGGTTGACACTGCATTCTACTTTCATTAGCTGACCTTGCATGTCGGTGAATGTCTGCTGCCCCTTGATTATATTCGAGGTACACTTGAGTCCTTTGCTCACGTGACTGGCAGCAATCTGAGGATGAAGAAACAGACTGCCTAAGCTCATCTTCGGGTGAGAGGGAAAAATACTGCACACCAATCAGAGACGGTGCCTTACAGCCTCAAGTTGTTCACGGTTGTATCGTCCACGAAGACTGGACCAGGAGTCGGAAGTGGGTGCGGTGACGGTGTAAAAGTGACCACCTTCAACTCTGCTCAAATCTTGCTGCAACTCCTGCGGTAAAGCATTGGCAAATTCAAAGGTCTCTGGATTGGATTGCAAAAGACTCATCACAGAGTTCTTGTTCAAGTTTCCAAGACCGGAACGCGGCACCAGAGGCTGCAAAAATTGGGAAAGGTGGGGGGGGGGAGGTGTCAAATTTCCCATAATTTGATGGTTTTTGGAAGAAAAATGAGTGACGACACAAACTTACGCGACGAATAATGTGAATAAGACCAGATTTGCATTCAATGTCTGCCTGACTGATCTCTGTACATTCGACATTGACGCTCTGGGATTAAAAAATACGAGAAAGTAACCCAATTTCGCCCGTTTACTGATTCAAGAGATAAGGGGAGAAACTTGCCCCATAGGTGGTGCGAGAGATCTCTATATCCTCATCGTTATATATAGACTTGAGTTTGACGCCGGTTCTTAGGTCGTCGGCGTAGTGACGACCCTTGGCCACATGGTAACTCACGGTCCGAGTGTTGCTGAAATGATTTAAGTAGTGTGGCAAACGACGGTTTTTAGGTTGTGAGGTCTACCAACCATAAGAAAACCTCTTCGATTCATAAGACTAAAGAACATAAAAAGGGACAACTGGTAGAAGTCCTAAAAGATTTTCCAATTTTTCTACTTTCTGAACACCTTCAAAGATGACATCAAATCTACCCACCCTCCGTAGATGCGATCCAAATCTCCACCATCTTCCGGCAGCGGCACAAAGATGGTGTAGGGCTGACCACTCCTTTGTGTCAATTCAGGGTAATTCTTCAAGTAGGAGGCAAACTTTCTGAACCCTAGACAACACACAAATGCAAGGGGTGAATGATGTTTAGCAATATAGGACGGAAACCCACTTTTTTGGGGTTGTGCCGACTTTGTGCATTAGCGTTTTGAGGGAGGCCTACTCCCGCGAGAAGCTGAACATGCGCAGGACCGCCACTTCTTCTCCAAAATATCCTGTCATATAATATTCCAAGGGATAGAGAATCATTCTGACTCACGACTGGATGTAAAGCTAGACAAGTGTGACTGACCAGCATTTTCACCACGCAATTGGTTGGCGTTGGGGTAGAGAAGGAAAAAGGGGCAGTCACGAAACAATTGTGGTGATGCAGACAATAACTTTCGTTGTAAGTGGGCATACAATTTGGGAGGTATTTTGAGTCACCCCTTTTGCTTGTCCTTTTACATAAGAAGTCATTTGCCACTTCTGCTCTGGCAAATTTAGAGCAACTTCGGGAAAAAAATGACGTGCAATCCTATTCAACGTGACACGGACCCTTGATTATTACTTTATTACTTGCCGTGGCAGCCTTCTTTCACGTCTCCCTCCGGCGTCACTAATACGTGACGCGTGATTTTTAAATTCAAAATGATAACTGATTGCATAAAATCGAAAAAACTGGAGACTGTTCTGTAATTAAGAAGAATTTTTCCCTATTTTGTTTTTTTACTTACATAAAATGACAACACATCTTGCCGGTTTTGTAGTGGCTGATTTTCCCCTGAGACCGCAAGGTAACGAATGTGTGATACTTCCGGATAACGGAACTTTAAGTAGTTGGTAAATATGAAATTTGATTATTTATTGGAGAGCAATCCATGAAGCCTACCAAGTTCTTCGATCACCGATGGGCAGTCGTCAAACTGAGGGATGAGTTTACCACAGGGATTAGAGCTGGGTCCGCCTAGTGGTTCATTACTGTGCTGGAAACCACTGCAGCATCTGTAGTCGAATTCCCTATAGAGTGAGAAACAAAGCTAATGGGTGAGGAGGTAATTGGGGGAGATTGTAATGAGAAGTACTTGAAGAATAGGGTGGACTCACAATTCCTTGCCACAACGTTTGGTCTTAAAGGGATCACAACCGCTGTAGATTGGAGTTCCGTCAGCCAGCAGCCAGGAAGCACACATTCGATAGCTGTTGAAGAAATGTAGGTGCTAGTACCAAATAGATTTCTAGACATATATTTCCCTTATTCTGACTTTACAAGGAGTAAGTTTTTACACAGTGCCGTCATAAGTGAGGCATCCGATTCTCGGAAATCCTCACTAGACCTGCAGCCCGCACCACTTTTACATCAGCTTGTTACAAATGAAGGAGAAGAGCGCCTTTAGGGAGAGATGGGGCCAAGGTTCAAAAGGTGAAGAAGAGTTATGTGACCACGCGGAATCTTCACTCTCCACACTTCTGATTACTTGACATTAAACCATTCTGCCATGTTGCCACGTCTTATGACAGCTTCGGGGAGGACTTGGGGGAAGAGAGGGAGGTATTATAAAGAATCCATAACTCGAAGGTTGGGGAAGTGACAGAATAAGAGAATTCAGGGATTCATGCGTGGGTTGATTTCTTCAATAAAAGGCAAAAAAATACACGGTCAATATTTCAACTACAACTTAAGAGTCTGTGAAAATGCACGACCATAAGATAAGAGTAGCATATGCCGGAAGAAATTCCGAGAAAGGAAGGAATTAATTCAACTTTAACCTACCCATATTGATCAGGCTTTGCATACTGCGGTGGGCTGGGATTCTGTTCAAACCTAATCGCAGTGACCGTTGAAAGGCAGATGTAGGCGAGGACGAGCAGAGCCACTCCCATCTTCTTGTCACTAGAGCTGTGCGTCGAGTAGTTTAGAATTTGGGGTCCTCCAACTACTACCGACTGGTAATGATCAGGCCAGTGTGCTGGTATTGGCTCCTTGCTTCTAGCAAATAAATACAAGGCGAGAGCACCCCTGCCACCATTAGTAGGATTGGTGTATAAACAACCGAAGGCGACTAAAGTGACAAGGTGGTGTGGTGGCGGTTCGTGTCAGTGATGAGAAAAATCCACATTATCACAACCAAAGAAGCTGGTGACGATTGAGTCATCGATCGGCGCCTCCACATGATCAACAATGTGTCACGGATCTTTCAGACGATGAAAATAATGATGCTGAGGACACTGGTGTCGAGTTTGAGAGTTGCTGAATAAATGGTTGATGGTAAATAATACAAAATATAAATGTCGGATACGCGTCATTTGACCCCTATGGCAAATGCATTTCAAAACAGCACGTATTTTGTTCTTATTTTTGCTGTTATGTTGTGCTGACTACAAAAAAAGGTGCACTGAAAATGAGTCATCTTATACGTTTACCATCAGGATGTCGGGGGCAATGTGACTACCACTGACCAAATGCTATAGCACTCTAATGTGGCACCTGCTATTGGACCAAGACAAGAATAATACAACAAATGTGTAATTAAATGGATCTTTTTAGGTGCCAAGCAATCCGATTACGCCAATTCCATGGATGTTCTAGCATCAATGGTACCTGAGACCGGGGGAGGGACGAACATTGCTTATTCTTAAAAACCCCTTACTGCACAATATCAACTGTCTTTAAGTAGACAATCATCTAGAGCAACAGGGATCACATTTCGGAGGCCTAACAAAGTACTAGCGAAAAGAGCTTATAAGGATCTAGTAGAGTTTTTGCTAATCGCTGTTGCTGCAAGTGTTTGCGAACGCCGATCGTTAGAAGAGGAATGTTTCTGACGAAGAGCTGTTATTGAGAGAATAGAGGAATCTAGGGCCACAAAAGGCTTTATTAGGGCTAACAACAATTACTATAACTCTGCAATTATAGTTTGCCATATGAAACTGAATATAATAGGCAAAGGCTCACCGAATGTCCTTTAAAAATTCCAAAAATATAATTTAGTTAGCAATAAAATAGTTATTACTCCATTTTGCTGTTAATTAAAATTTCTATTTTGGAAAGGACTTTTGGCTCGTTAGATTAGCTTTTTAACTTATTGGTGATATTTCATTGTTGATAGTTCAAATGGGTAAGGTCAACTCGTACCCTATTTGAAACAGCTGTCGGCATGTGACTAGCCGCAATGGTTCGTTGTTTCACGATTTGTGTCATTTTTTTCATTTAGACAGACAAAAGTTCACAAAAATACAATTCGTATTGCTCTAAAAGAACGGCTGGTGAGGCATTTGGAGAGAGACTTATGACGGGTGTTCCAGAATGCTATAATTACGGTGTCTTTTTTGACGATGGGTACGATTACATGAAACACATGAAGTCAATGGAAGAGTTTGTTCGGGATCCAAACTACGTAAGTGAATATGCACGTGATCTTTTCGGTAGGTATTTCTGGCCTACCATATCGCGCCTTGACTTTTATAACTGGTTTTTAGAATGAATGATGCACATTATTGTTCTCGGCCTATCTATTTGTGTTTTGTTATTTCCAATAAGTGCATAATTTTAAGGTGCGACTTCTTTTATATTTGACGTTTGAGTTCCTGGCTAGTTTGAAAGTCTGCCTTGGACTAGGTCATTGAGAACGAAGAAGATACCGTAATTCCGGATAATTATGCTCCTCCTGCTGTTGAGATGGTCGTTTCGGATGATCCAGTGGACGACGATTTTGAGATTCCCTCAGACGACGAGTTGATAACGGATGGAGGTGAATTAGAGGACAATTTCGTCGAATTGGCGGGTGGAAAGCGCATGCGCCTAAATGATGACGATGACGACGATGACACGACCAGTGATAGCTACGAGATTCGGGGCGAAAAACCTATTCCCTCAACTGCTAATCTACCCCTTCACAAAATACGCTTGATGGAACGCTACTTGTGGGGTGCAGAGGCTGATGAAATGCCCATGGAAGATCTCTACGAGGTATCCGGCCGCAAAAGTTCTGTTGCCGCTGCTGCCGCAAGAAAGGGCCGCCCGCTGACGGAAGGAGAAGAACTTCTTGAAAAGCAATTTGATAAGGTGATTGTTCCCTCCTCATCACTCTGTAACCCATCCTCCTCTGCACTGCTTAATTATCTTGCTTCCTTTTCGTAGCTAATGCAAGTGACAAAATCCAGGAGTGGATACGATGTTCGTTCAACCATGTCCGGTACCTCAGTCATGAGTGAGAATTTGCAGTCAGCCGTTCGGGCAGACGATCTCATGATATCAAAGCGGTAACAATGATGTCCACAAAATATTGCCTACTCATTGTTAATTAAACCACAATTATGATTTTCTTTATGTTCTTGAAGGAATCCTCAAACTGACGATTGGGAATGTCCTGATGGCCCCCTTAAAAAGGCAACTCTTGGTCGTTTGGAAGAAATGTCAGAATCTGATAGAGATGAGGACCCGCTGAGGGACTGGGTGGGCAAGGGAAAAGTCACCGTGGACACAATTAATTCCAGTCATCAAGGTGAGGGAGTGGGTATGCCTTCCGCTAAACGAATCTAATTTTCCTTGAAACAATTAATCTTGATTATTCCCCATTTCTAGTAGCAGACGACGGAACGGTAAAAGAGCCAGAAATTCTCGCCATGCCCAAAGGCAAGCCACGCTCCAAACCAGCGAAGACTAAAGTGGTAGATATTAGTTCGTCCTTGGAGAGTGAGAGAGGCAGCGATGACGAACCAGAAGTTGCTGATGAAGTGGATTTTCATCGCCGATTGAAGGGGGAGACAGCAGAAGAGAAGCGAGCACGCAAGGCTGCTCTCAAGGCGCAGAAACGGGAACGGCAACGGGTAAAGAAGGCAAACAGGGCCAACTTTCGACGGGAAGAGATGCTACAGTCTAAGGCGAGTAAATCAGGGGCGACGATCGGGGGACGAATTTTTATGGACGACTGAGGCTGTGCTGTACAAAATGGTTCATTTTTTGTGTCCGGTAGACCTATTTTTTGAAATAAATGTGCTTGCAAATGCGTATGAAGTGTTGAGGTGGTTTTATTGCTTCGTGAATAACATCGGTTTTAGGTGGTACGAGTTAGATTCTGCGGTTCGGCTTTTACTTTCTCTGGGGGATATTGATGCCTTCCAGGGCTGATTTTGGCAACTTCTTCGAAAAGACCAGTCGCAGCCTTGGCGTTTCTGGTACGTAGAAAGGGCAAGGATAAGGTCCATAAAATACCATTGTTATTTCCTCGGTTGTCCTTTTCCTTGCCAAAAAGGTTCTCCCCTCTTCCCCTGCTGTGCTACGAGGCACATACGCATATACAAACGAGTACGTAATCCCGCCTTTCGCGTGCACGTGCGCACGTAGCACTGCTACCAGTCTCCTTATTGGCTGCATTCGGAGCTTGCCTCTCTTCTGATTAGCTGAATGTGACAACATTTCGCTCTCGTACACGCGTGATTACTGCGCACCATGTGGCGGTGGCGGTGGCTTGTCGTGGCTACGGTGAACTGTTCCGCTTCCTGCTTTCTTCGAGGCCCATGAGCAACCCTTCGAGTGAGGTAATTCGCTCTCATTTTCCCCACCTAACTGTTCATTTTCCTGTCTGTTGACAAATCTTTGTTAAATTCAATAATTGACAGAAAAATCGATAATCGGGAGTTAAGTGGGCCTTCGAGGGCGAGGAAAGGTGGCACAACTTTACTCAGGGATTAGATTGATTATCGATTGCTTTCCACTACTTGTTGTCACTTGTCATAAAACGGGGTGGAAGAGGGAAGCTCCTTAAATTTTCCATTCCCCATACGGTTCGGGTGCCTGCACCTGCCTACCTACCCCCACTCCACCTAACTGAAATGTCACCTTCTTTTTGTTACTCCAGTTGCGAGCTTTGACGCAAAGAGCGGTTGGTCAACATATTATGAAGTACCTCCAAATTACGGACCGCTGGAGTTGTCTTCAAGTCTTTCCCACTTGGCGAGGTCTGGTAGCAACCCCTGTGATTCTAGCCCAGGGGTCAGAGAGGAATCGTCTCAAAATTACAAGGCAGTTGACTAACTCCGAAGAGAAATCTAATCTGCTCGTGCGAGATGAAAAGGGTTTCAGTCTCTTCGTGGAGATTCTTAACACCCTACGATTTACTGGTTCGCTGTCCTTAAATCTTGTCTCTATGGATCTACGCGCTACTGTCCTTTCAATCAGCGATCTTAATGACCTCTTGTCTGGCCCGAAGGTGGTGGTGTTTCAGCACCTAGAAAGTGTGTCGGCAACTCTACAACACACCCAGTTCTTTCCCACTGAATCACACGCCTCCTGGGCTGGAAACACCCCGGTTTTGACAGGACCTATTCCTCTACTTCCTCGTCTCAAATCGCTGAACGTTTTCATCATTCCAAAATTGTCGATCAATAGTACTCCACTGGCAAAGCTTCTGCGACTCGCTCTGAATGCCAGCAGCATCACACTGCGAGATAGAGACAGCTCCAACCCCCCGCGCGGTGGTCAACCCTTCTCTTGGTATACGCGTCACAACTTTCCACAAAGTTATCCAAATTTGAAACACCTTTCCGCCTCCATCTACACGGAATTTTTGACTGCCATGCTGATGGAAACTAGGGGGGATTATAAGACTTGGTTCCCAGCGCTGGAAAAACTGACGCTTTTTGACCAGAGCAATTATATGAAGCGTCAGGACTTGGAAGAGTACAAAGACATCTTCAAAGGCATTACCGTTGAGGTGCCGCCCTACACGGTGAGTAGTGGGCGAAGTGGCCATGAGTGAAATGACTATAAGAAATAGCCTCAGGTTCATGAATTCACTTTTGCTTACTTTCAGCGTTTCCTAGATGGAGTAGTGACTAGCGTCTTCTAATCCGATCTCGACAATCGCTCTTTCTGCTATCAATGCTGCCTTTTCTACTTCAAGCACTGTTATTCTTTTGCCCTAAAGATGTACATTAAAATTATTTTTTTAAGTGGATGGTTTTGAGTCAGAAGGGTTGGGTTAGGATGGAATGCAACCCTATTCTTTCGGACGAGTTAATAATCTTGAACATCCGCATAGTTGGGTAAGAGGGTACCCGCTGGTTAACAATCGAGCCTCACCGACAGGCCGGCTTCCCTGAGTAACTAAATCAGCTGTTGCGGTGGCTTATTCACTAGCTATTTCTCGAATTTCTGCCAAGTTGATGGACTAGCTCACACCGAAAAAAACTGACTTTCATGCAGCCATGGGAGACGACCTCCAACATCAGTAACGTAGAACTGTCAAATTACGCCTTTGCAGTCTTCAAGGAGGGTCATCCACGAAGAGCAAGGAATGTACAGTCTTATTCACGACCGTTTGTGGCTTGTAAGGTTACCGAACCATCCACACTGTCTAGGAATGATTGGTGAAGAATGGAAGTACAAACTGAATACTAACGAGCACGCATGACGCGACAAATGCCTGAGTGTGAGGAGAAGGCGCCAAACTGGGCGATGGGTGATTTGGTTCAAAACAGGACAATGTGTGAAAGGTTTAGAAAAGCTCAATGACGTGTGACAGGTGCATTTACGTAGAACTAGTGCCTCAGAAAAGCCTTTTTTTGGAACAGCTGATAGTCAAACAAAATTAAAAGCAAAAGTGATGGTGGAATTTCTTTAGCTTTAATGGATGGCATTATCTGCACTGAAAACGCAAAGTGAAATGGCGACATAGTATTCAAAAAGTCTTTAAATTAAAAAGGCATAGAAAATCTTTGCCAAGTATAAAAAGATAGTGACGGAATTAAACAAATTGGGCTTTTATGCATAGTACTTGGACGTGGAAATATTTGCGTAAAGGACAAAAAATTGATTAGCTGGCAGATCAAGCAAAAAAAGGGCATTAAAAAATATCAAGCTCAGAAAACATGGTGAAGCTATTCTCTTCGGGGCTATCAAAAGACATGCCAAAAGAAGTGTGAAGTTTAAGTGTTAGTAAAAATGACTTTCGTGCCTTTCAAATTAGTGTAAATTTGTATTTTTTGTTTTTAAAAATCTGTACGTTGCGGTTTTAAGGCATAAATGTATGCTTTGAGAATTTTGAACATATTTGTTTAAGTTGTCAAGGTAACTTCTGGCCTATATGAAATCGCATGATCGCAGAGACCGCAGTGGCCTGTGTTCGTCTTACTAAACATAGGATTGCTAAATTGTAGCTTATAAAGCAAAGTTAACTTTAAAGGTTTGTTTCGTTAACTTAGCTTTTTCAAGTGTTTCTTTTACTGCACCCATGATCAAGTTTTCATCTCATTTCTATATTGTGCTGATATTTTATACGATTGCTAAAGCGTTGTTTGAATCAACGCGTTTGGGTCACCGATTTACAGTGCTCTCCGATTTTGTAGACCTAACTCTGTCATCAGAGATAGTTTGCAAAGGCAAAATTCTGGACCTAATTCTTTTGACTGTAACTAATCTTCCATGTTTCACTCAGTGTCAGTGCCTATTTAGATTTAGCTTTAAAACAATTTGTGCTAAATGGTTTGACTATATGGCGCAATGATTTTGCACACACTTATACTGGTACCAGTCTTCGTTGAAATCATCCACTTAGACTTCGTTATGTAAGTTTAGGCATTTGGACATTTAGGAAAACCGCATCATTTCAAATTTGTCTGCAATATTTTGGTGAAATCACTGTTTTTTTACCATGGCTAAAGTGCTTTATCGTCTTTGTATTTCTTTGCCACTCGCTGATCTCATTTGAATTCTTATTCATATTCATATAAAATACCTCTTTAAAAGCAGTATACCGGTGTTGTTTTAATGGAAATTTGCGAACTTTTCACCTCTATTACCCTAGTTTTTTCACATCAGTGTAATTAATGTCATCCACCAGGGTGTTATTGTATCAAGTACCTCGATACTCACTAACGCCCCTCACTATTAGCTATGCCTTTAGGGTAAATTTCATTTGGAAATTGATTATGTGTAAAAGATATTGAGTCACTTTTGCTGGTATAATTTTCTCATCGATTTGGGTCATACCTACACACCAGTCGTGCCTTTTTTTCCTCCTCGCAGGTTCCAATGCTATGAGTAGCTATGTCCTTGTGATCGGTTTCCATCACAAGAAGGGCACATCTGTGGAATATGTATACCCAGAGCTAGAGACCGGTCTAGATCTCCCCCCAGCTTGGACCTGCATTCCACCTACGGCACTTCCAGATGGTGCTCACAATTTTGACAGAGGTTTGCTAAGATAAAAGTGTCACTTGTTCTCCCAGATTCCATCTTCTTTACTGTACCCTCCTTGGAGCTAAAACCCACGACATTGTTCGGTGTTGCTTGTTATCGACAAATTGATGCTAAAGTAAAGCTGATCTGTTGGGTCCTTTCTTATTTTCCATTGCTTCTGGTGAAAGCATATCCCAATTTTCTTCTAGGATTTCTCAAGTCGAACACCGGATCTGACACGGAACACTGTGCAAAAGAGTGTTGTCTTCTTATCCCACGCTGTAGGTTGCTTCTTGACCTTCACCCTCTGAAATGTACTAGGGAGGTTAAAGACGATCATTTTTAAATTGTGTTACAGGCATTGTTTGGTCTTATATCAAGCCTACTGGATGACATCACGGACGCATTTATCGCTGCTGCATCGAGTAAGGAGGGCTACTCACTCCTTCGAAGGGGTTTTGTGGATATTGTACTAGCTGTAGACAGAGCTGTTTGCTCCCCACTGTACGAAAGTAAGTCATCATTCACTTTCCACCCTACTTAGTACCCATCTTTCTACCTTTACGTATTGGAATAAGTGATACCAAGCCCTCTTGAAATGATTGTGTAATTAAGAGCTTGAGAGACTTTAATCTGATTAGTAGAGAGTGGAAAGCACTGTGATGCGTTAAGTAATTCATCAGTCGAATACTTCTCAACACCTGTTTGGTTGACATGTTTTTTGATGGATTAAGCATCAAAATCTCACATTAGCAATCCAAAATAAACATCCAAAATTGTGCTTTCAAAAAGGACCCCGGGAGCTATGTAATTGCTACTGACATTTTAGATGATTGCCCCAAGTCTCAGATCTTGCAAAAAGGGAATAGAGCCACAACTCCCAGTGTGGGAAGTTATTCTCCTTTTTGAAATTATCTCCCCGTCTAATTGACACTATAAATGGAACGTTCTTTCTTTGATCCTACCGCTCAACAGAGGCAGGGGTTAAATTAGACCTTTGTGAAGAAGGGCATTTGTGGTGGGAAGTAATTTTTCGATTTACCATTTCAGGCTGTAGCTTTTTCTTCTGTGAGAAGGGAGGGGGGTGGGCTTCGATTTCGTCACTGATAGCTCCTGAGCCCTAGTATGGAGGATTTGGAATTGCTATGTGGATAGCATCCTCTGTGGCGCAATATACTTAGAGTCATGATAACATGCTATGGTTTTTTGCAAGTGGGTGTTTAGACTCGTATCTACTCACCTTCATCTCCTTCTCGCTTTTATTTCTTATCTATCTATCTGTCTGTATCGTAACCATGACGTCCATAAAGTGGGAATGAGAAGACGGAAGTGGTAGAGGTAGTGGCACTTTTCACCTCTCATTCTAATGTGCAAATCGCCTCGCAAATAAGTCTTGTATTTTTCCGCCAAAAACAGCACTTTCCTCAAACTGATTTAGTAGTTCTGAATGTTTTTGGAGAGGTTCATTTTGATCACCATCGAGTACTGGAGTACCCCATTGATCAGGCAAATCTTGGCCGGAATTATTTGACGTTCAGTCGGGAATTTTAATATAAACCATTTCGTCTGCTGTGCACCACACCTACACACTCACCCAAAGTAGCCTTCTGGACAGAAAGAGGTGCGTGGCTTGAAAGTGCGGAATGAATAAAGAGTGGGTTGTTTGTGGATGATCGATGATACGCTTATTCTCCAAACTCTTGTCAGAACATAAATGTCACTTCCCATCACGGGTCAATCGGTCAGTAAGCCACACAGTCAGTCAATTCACCCAGACAGTCAACT